GAAGAAGCAGCCTCACTGACAGCTCTGGCACCTGGATAGATAATTAAAATCCGTCAATAAAACAACAAAATGCAGCGTGCAGAGGGACTCTCCTGCAATAGCATTAAACACTGCAGATAATTATATCGCAGCAGAGGTTGGAAAGGCAGCTTCTCCCTGCTCCGGAAGATCAATAAAACAGACCAATTCGTAATGAAGAAAATAGTGCAGGAACTGGATTTTCATCTCCCTATCATTAGATCCTTCGCTTTTAATGTTTTGCAAAGGCAGAAAAAAGATTCTGTTGAGGAATTCTTTGGTTTTGAATGGCAAACATGCTGAGGATTTAGCTTTGCTTTCGTGCAGTGTTTTATTGAAAGCAAATGTGGTAAACCAGAGGTTTTACTCGAAACGTGTGGTTCTGTTCTCTCCCTCCACCCTCTGCTACTTGCTACTTCCCTTCCCTCTTCCTTTCCCCTCTTCCTTTCCTCTCTTATCTCATTACTTTTTCCCTTTATTTGCAATCCATCAGAAAACTCCTCTTAAAAGTAAAGTTTTGTTTTAATTCCTGTCTGTTTTCCCAGGGTTTTTTTTTTTTTTTTTTTTTTTTTTTTAAATCTTGGCCCTTCCTAAAGAGTTGACTTGGAAATACCACATATTGACAGGAAAGAAGACACTTCTGGCTGACTTATTCACCACGACAAGCTTTTTCTTAAAGCAATCATCCAGAGAGGAGATTTCTGTGTTTTAAAAAAGAAAAGGAATGTCTTGCAGCGTTGCCATGAAGGATAATGAATTAAATCTGTCTCTTACTGTAAAACCATTAGAAAAGTATAATAGACCTTGAGAAACAGTCTTGGATATTGATGTCTTGGCTATATTAGCGTGTCCATTCATGTGATGACTGCCTTGCCTTTGCAAAAATAATACAGCCCAGGCAAAATAGATGTCTCAGTTGAGCATCTCTTTTATCTGGTGGGCATGAAAAAACCCCCTTGTGTGGGTTAGCACAAGCTGTGATCAGGGCTCAGTAGCAGCAAGGAGAGATGTGAGATGGGTATTTGGATCTCTAGGCTTTCTGCAGCCCCGCTCAATGTTTTCTGGTTGCTCTCCCCAGCATGATCATTGCTGCCCCTGTGATTTCTGGCACCCGTTCTGCTTGTCTGGGGCAGATGGTCTCCACCTGGGTGGGGGGACGTGGGCTTGTGCCTGCAATGATTCATGCTGAAGGGCTTTTGTTTGGGATCGATCTTTTATTTTCTGCTGCCTTGGTGTTTCTGTTCTGGCAAACATAACACCCCAGACATGTCTAGCCTGATGCTGCTGACATGTCTGTGCTATTAAAGTTTCTGGAAAGGCCTAAAATAAACATCACCTGCCAAACTATTATTTCTTCCTTTCTTTCTCTTTTGGGTAAATATATCAACAATGTCAGCATTGGAAAAAATCAAAGATGTCAGAGGAGGAATAAGCAGCTGTTTATATCTGAAAGTGCTTCTCCCTCGCTAGCACAAGATGACCTTGTCACTTAAAAATCATAAAAATGTTGCTGGGGAGAAGGAATGGAAGTGCACTGAAGGGAAATGAAGTTTGTTTTTTGCTTTTTTGGGTTTTTTTTTCTGCTGTTGTTGTTTTAAATCTGAGTTTAGAGTTGCAAACAGAGTTGAGCCCTGCAGCTGGTACTGAACTCAAATGTTTCCTTCAGTGCCGCTGCTGCAAGTGGAAAACAAATACTGCTGACTTATTATTCTCTCACATTAAACTCTTGAAATTCATTTTTCACTGGAGCAGGGAGAAATTCTGTAAAAATAATGCTTGTTTTCTATTACAGTCTATGTGTTACACTGAATTGACACCTTACTTCTAAGATAAACATTTTTCCATATTTGAAAGATAAAACAGGCACCTTGCTAAGTGGGATTAAATGGAGTTAGAAAGACAACATAACCACCTTTTTTTTTTAGTGAGTGGGACAATTTACATGCTTTCTAGGAAATAGAGTTTTTTTTTCTCTAAAGCATGTATGTGAATGATCTGTTTCTAGGATGCTGGGTGCTTAAAGGCCGCTGAGTACCTCCCACTGATTTTTGAGAGGATTTGGGGTGTTTTCCTTCCTTGAGCATACAGCCTTCTGTCTCTCAATTTGGACAAAAAAGGGAGATCTCCGATGATGCTTCATTTTCTGATTTCTTGGTGACCTTCTGTGCCCCAGAGAAGAAGTAATTTTGCAAATAAGAAAAGTTATAGACATATGCCTGCTAGGAACTGGATGGAGCCCAGCTCATCAGGCACAGAATGCCAAGCACCCTTCCCGCAGTAATGACTTTATGGAATTAGAGCCTTGGGCAGGATTTGGAGGTAGAGGTGAAAATTGCCATATCCCTCAGATGTCTCTTCCTGGCCTGTGGTTGCCCTAATTTGTCTGAACATATTAGAAGAGCCCGCTTTGCCATTAGTGCCAAGAAATCACAAGATTCAGTGTAAAATCCCTTGATTTGGAAAGAAGAGTGATGCTGCTCGCGGACTGGTTTGCTGGGAAGGGAGTAAGGCATGATTACGTGTTTTTCCCTCCCTTTCCAAAGCTTTGGATGCATCTTCTTTTATGAATCTCCTCTGTCACTTCTTGTGTGTCACTTAGTGTCAACTGGGCCTTTAATCTTTCTGGAATGAAATATGATAAAGCCAAAGAGACTGAGAAGCTGTTACAAAAGTGGGAAAAAAAAAAAAAAAAGAACAAAACCATGGCAATCAGGGTTGTATTGATGAGTGTTTCGTACCCTTTCCTCCCCTGAAAATTTTTGTAGGCTGATGTCTGACAGTAATAGATGGTTGAATGGGTGTTAGTGTTTCTAACCTTTTTAGTCCAAATTGCCTTCTTCCTTTAAAGTGTACCGGAATGAGAACCGGCATATTTCATCTTGAGGCCTTAAAAAGAAACTCAAAATGCCAAGTACAGAGTATGGTTTTGCTGTCACTATGAAATATGCTGAAATATATGTGGGAAAGATTTTTTTTTTTGAGCCCTTTTTATTTTTTTTCTTGGCAAATTACATGGGCTGCTGCCACCAATTTGTATTTCAGATTTTGGGTAGAGTTCCTCATTTTGTTTTTTGTTGCCTTTCCCCAGGTGGCACTGTCAATTTGTTCTCACCTTCTTTTGAAGTTTCTGTTCTGGGTAATCATGTGTTTTGCTATCCCCCATCCAGGGCACTGCAAATGTTTAAGGAGACTGTGGCACTTACTGGAGTTAGGGTGCTAATGTATGTTTTCTGCTGCGTTCCCCCCTCACCTGTTATCTCATGGTGCTTGTATCTTTGATGATATCCCAAAATGCACTACACTAAAATGAAGTTGCTGTTAGCAGCCTGAAGCATTTGGGCTTCTAACCCGAATTTTCAAACGTTGGTTTCAAACATCCTAATTGTTTTGGATCCTGACTCAATTTTGAAATGCCTCTTTGTGCCGTTGCTCTTACTTTATGTAGCATGGCCAGGATTGTCCCCAAACCCAGAGAAACTATTGATTAGGCCAGTGTGACTGCTTGTTGAAAGGCATGTTGAGCCCGGTAAAGGCTTTTTGTTGAAAGTGAGGAGTTGGATGCTGTTCAGTGCCTCTCCTGGAAGGCTGCCTGCTCTCACAGCCCTAGCTACCTGTGATGTCCCCGCCAAGCCACCTGCCTGCCAGCAGTGAGGCTGAGGACAACAAAGCCATTTTTTTTCTGTTAAAAAAATTATTTTTCTGTGTGTCTGATAAAACTAGTTGCTTGCTGTGATAACTGTCTTCTTTCAACAAGAAAACATGAAAATGTCCCAGCCCTCTGGATTATCTGTTATCCAGCAAACGAATCTGATGAGCAAATGTATCAGCTCTTATTAATCTTTCCATGAAATTAAAGAAATTATGGAGCTTAAGGCAGTGACTAATGAATCAATTTTAATTTATGGGCTCAAATAAAATCCTCATTAAGCCTGACAAACTGTAGCCTCAGGTAAACACAAAGCATTTCCACTGTGGAGCTAAATGAGCTCTGTGCTGGATGTTGTGGCTTCTGCCAGAAGAGCAGCAGGGTCAGAGGTCCCTTGTCTTGTCGCAGGAGGCAGCAGCTTGGAGAAAGTGAATGCGGTGGTCCAGCCCCTAGGAGATCTGCTTCTGGCATGAGGAAGGATAAATATCAAAGACTAATTATATTTCTTTCTCTCCCTTGATTGTTTAAAAAAAAAAAAAAAAAAAAAAGTGAAGGAATTTTTTTTGCCATTGAGTCATTTATAACTAATGCAAGCATGTTGACTATGCATGAAAAACTACTATTTTGTTTTCTAGACAGCATATTTGGTGAACAGTTCCTTTTCCTCTCAGCATTACTGTTTCCAGCCTCTGCTTAGCTCTAAACAGCGTTATTCAAGATGACTGTTTTTGTGGGAATGTTTTATAAATATTTTGTAAAAGCTATTTATGTGTACCATAAAACATACAATGATTACTTTGCCACAAATGTTGTTGCTTTAGGTTTTGCATTTCATTTGATTGAGATGCTGATATTTGAGGTTAGTTGGGGTCAGTGTGATGGGGTTTGGGGTTTCAAGAAGTAAAGGACCACACACTCATTTTTGTGTAAATCTTTGGTTTGCTTTTACAGAAATGCCTCCTGGTGCTGTAAGAACTACTTGGAGGGGAAGGGGTTCTGCCACCATATCTCTTCCCTTTCGAAAGAGCTGCTGCTTTATTGTCACTTCTGAAATCAGAGCACATTTTGTGCACAGGAAAAAGAGTTATCCTAGGGGTATGGATTAGCTGAAATTGAGTTAGCATGCAAGAAAATGGCAGCCTAAAAAGCAGTGGCAATAAGCTGATGTGATGCATCAGTGTTCGCCATCAGCCTGTGTGCTCTCCCCTGGGGAGCTTCCTGAGCTGATGGTGAAGACTCAGTTCCTGTATCTTCTCTCCTGTTGATGCTGTGCCAGAAGTCGTGCCAGACTTGTCTTCTGAACTCTTTTTTTTTTCTTTGTTTTTTTGCTTTTCAGATGCAGTAATCGGACCCAATGTGCCGTTGTGGCCGGCCCTGATGTGTTTCCAGACCCTTGCCCTGGGACGTACAAATACCTGGAGGTTCAGTATGAATGTGTCCCTTACAGTATGTATCTTGATATATTTGCATTTGTTTCTTTAACAGAGAATTAATTTAATGTTGAGAATGATCCAGCCTTGAGCCTGTCTGTTGTTGCCTTGGGGGCAAATGAGCACTCGATGACAAACTATGTGCATCATATGAGACAGAGCTGATAAGATATGAAAAATTGCCTTCTGTGCAAAGTTTGTGCTTACGTTAAAAACATCCTAATAATGCCCCATGTTTGCCTAGCTGCGCAGTGTTAGAGTTACAAGTCACCTTCTGGAAAAGCCCCATTAGTGAAAGCATACAGTAAGAATGAAGCATTATTGATAGCTTATAACTCCGATTTCCAGACTTTCATTCTTGCACTTGAATGGCAGTGCACTTTGGGCTGACCTATGTCTTTTTAACAGATGACATTTGATAAGTGCCTTAAATACAGTATTGTATCACTAAGGAGACAGAAAGATAATGTTTTGGGAAATTTGTTTTTTGATGGTAGAAACAGCTAATTTATATGCTTCCAAAGATATGAAGGCAAATTGCATACTTGCCATTTAGCCTGAATTTTGGAGTGTAAAAACACAGATATGTAAGTTTACAGCAATATGTGCTGAATGGGAAATGTCAGAGTTGGAAAAAGTGAGGTGTATCTCAGAACTTGCTTTCTGTGGGAACCAAATTCTTAGATCCAGTTATGGTCCTAGAGAGTTGAACCCTCATCTCCGAGCAGAGGGGTCCACATCCTTTGAGGGATGGGGGCACAACTTGTCTGTATTGTGTTTTTCTACACAAAAATGTGGAGTTTCTAAATGTGGCAAGGGATTTTTTTTTTACGGGGTGAGCTATTAAACTCATGGAAAGTGTGACATCAAGGGCTTAAAGTCTGCTTCAGCAAGCTCATACCAAGTGAGCTAGCTCAGGCAGACCATTTGGAGGTATTCTGCTCTAAATGAGGCCTTTCATTGTACAAACAGCAGTGTGTATGGGGAGGGTGGGAGGGGGGATAGGTTTCTGCTTATCGTAGCAGGTTGTATTTTCTTATGATTTGTGATTTGCATGAGGCATGCTGTTCCCTCCTGAGTCTGGACTGGTAAAGCAATAGCCATTACGTAGTACCCCTCTGTAGCCTTTGTTGCATATAAACAAAGAGGAATAGTGGTGCCTTGTGAGAAAGGTAATATGTGGATATTGTGCCCTGAGGTGTTAATCGGCCTTGTGTACAAGATGTAAAATAACTCTTGAGAGAGGTTGCTCAGTACAAAACGTACAGCAGGGACTGAATGTGTTTTAATGATCTGGATGAAATGAGGAAAACAAGACCAGCAAGCTGAACTACCTCTACAATTAAGTTAGTGGCTTTGATGACCACTTGCTTTGTTTATGAGTCCAAGGTACTGCCTACGAGAGAAGTTAGGGTGGAAAATAAGGGACAAACATGCTGTAAATAGGGATTCTCATCTCTTGAGTTTGTTGTTCTGTACCTTTCATTGCCTGGGAAACTTTGAGTCAAATCTTAATGAATTGTTACTCGGTGTAGCACCATGGAAGTTGGCTGGTGGGACTGCATTCATGGCAGCTGTGCATGTTCACCTGCAGCAATGTAGTGGGAAATGTGAAATGTTCTCATAGCCTTGACTCTTCCTGACTTTGTTACTGCCTTCCACTTCTTACGGGGAAGGGTGAGGCCTGGCACAGGGGATTGGCAACGCTGTATCTGGACCAAAGCTGTTCCTGGTGAATGAAATCTATTTCCCCCTTGGTGAGGCCTCTCCCATTTGCCATGGTTCAGCTGGGTGCTGGAAACCAATTGGGTTCTTATCACTGAGCCCATGCACTTCAGCCTCCTGTAGCCCAGTTTTGGTCGCAACCCAAGTCCTTGCAGACCCAGTTTCCTTGGCACTGCTGCCTGCACCAAGCCACACTTTGGCGCGTGGCTGTGGGAGAGGAGCAGACTGTTGTCTCCCTTCCTCAGCCACTGGCGTTGGCTCCGCAGCTCTATGCACCAAGCCCTCGGTGAGTAGCAGCACCAGCCATATGGCCATTTCCTAAAGAAACACAGCAGCTGCATAACAAAGGAATTAATATTTCAGCAGGCACTTAAATTTGTGTGCAATTTCAGCTTGCTCCATCAGGTTGAATGCTTTACTCCTTAAGGTTTTAGTAAATGGTGAGATGCAGTTTAGCCAAGTGCTGGCTTAGAAGCAGAGGGGAGCTTGCATGCTTCTCGACAGAGCAGCATTTGAGAGTCATCTTTAGCAGATGTTAGCACTGACCATAGATGCTTACCTCAATGAAGTGCTAGTGTATACGCTGCCTTGGAGAAAATGATGGAACTTTAAACTCTGGCTTGGGTCACTCATTTCTCTTGTGGTTTTATGTGTTTATTTTTAATTTATTTCTTAGTTCTTCCACTAACATGGATCATTTTCAAGAATAAAACATCCCTTTTCCTCTCAGGAGAGAAAGACCTTTCTTACCTTCAGTAACTATTTTAAAATGCCCTTTTTACCCTCCCTATGGCATCCCTGTGTGCTCACTACAGATGCCCCTGACAAGGAGAGTTTTGTGAGGCTGCAGTTACTCTCAGCACATGGGGAAGATAGAGATGACTACAGAGACAGTTCCATCCTCTCCTCATTTTCCTGGTCCTGCAGTAAGTTTATGTGATGACAGATGCTGCCTACAAAAATGGATGTCACAACAAGAACCACCAGTCAGTTTTATGTTGATAGACTTGAGTGGCATGAGTTACTGTATTTTTCTGGTATCAGAAACAGTTACCAAATTTTTTTTTAAGTACCACTCCTTCTCTTCTGAAATACCAAAATCCTAAATCCAGTTTTCTTCCAATTGAGTTTTATTGTAACAGTTATCAACCAGGGCAGCTTCTCCATGGTCTTCCATTAAATATGTGGTATTGTAGACACCATTGCCAAGTTGCGGAGACGTGGCAAGCTGCAGAAGGATGTCTGAAACTGCACATTTGGCTGCATTACAATGTGTGTGTGTATGAGAAGCCCACTTCGTAAGGGTTCCTGTGACCTAGTGTTCTGCTGTTATTTCTCAGCATATCCCTCTCCCCTTTTCCTACAACTGTTAAATGTGAAACGTGATGGAGGTGATTTTGTGAAGCTGGGTCTTACTCTCACTAGAAATACTTTGTATGTATCTTCCTCTGGTGCTTTTAAGCCCTGTTGTCATCACTACAGTGCATCTAGGAGTACAATTTTCCTTATTTCATCTTTGTAATATTCTAAGGGACTTCCCATTTTACTCATGAGCCAGTGCAGGAAACAGATGAGAAGTTTATCCACTGCTATGCATGGGACTGGTGACAAGCAAGAGACGCCAGTCTTGCACGATCAGTGCTGATAGAAGAGCTGCTGAGCCAGTTGTCATTGCAAGTAGCCACATTTTTTATTTATAATCTGATAAATCTAGTGTGCTGGCTTTGCCTATGCAAATATAGTTTTCATATTGTATACTTGTCAGCTCAAGCCATCTGTGTCTCAGTAGTCCTGTTTGTATCTCTGAGATGGAAGACGCATACCTCAAGCTCACTGAGCTCCTTCCCTCATTCTCTGGAGCACCCATGCTACATACTGTGGTGACATTATTTAAAAGAGCTTGGGGCATGGCCAAAATACTGTTCTGGGTTGGTCAAACCTAAATTCAGACTGGGGAGATTTTCTGATTTGTGGACGGTTGTTTCCCACTGGCTTTGACTGAAACTGGGGATCGTCAGCACTTGGATTCTATTCATGCTTGTAATACGGTATTAGTTGGAAGTGTTGAAGTATTTTATCTGTTCGTTTTTGCCTATAGACAACCACACAGGCTCCCAATGTTGTTGTTGAAAAGGAAATTTTGTTTGCTAGGTGAAACTTCAGTTTTTCCTGTATTCCTGTCTCCTAGGTTGTAGGTTCTGGAGTTAAACAGAGAAACTTGTGCACTATTGTCCTTTAAAACTGAGCTGTTTTACTAAAGAGTAGGAAAGCATGCAGGAGACTGGAGATTTTGATGCACAGAACAGGACAAAGTGGAAGAAAGGAGGGAGCTCCACAGGGACAAGCCTGTTTGCTGCAGTGATCGAAAGGAGGGAGCGTGAGCCATGCCCTGGGCATGGCAGGGGCTCACCTATCATATCATGCTGATAACTTACCTCTCTTCCAGGCAACAAGTCTACTGATGGGTTTTAATATTGGAAAGATCTATTCCAAGGACTATTTCCTGCAAGGGAAAAATGTTTGTGGCATCTGAGAAAGGATAAATTGTCCTTCCTTTTCATTCCTCTGGGTAAACAGGCTAATAAATGTTAGGGAAGGATTGAGTTTCTTTGGGGCTTACAGACAGTTTCCTAGTTTCTTAGTGCTAACAAGGAGAAGGAACACAACTCTGGAGCGTTGTTCACCTCTTTTTTTCTTAAGACTTTTGTTTTTTTATAAATATGGAAGCTGAAATCACATTTCCCAATTGCTGTATTGATAGAAGGAAAGGTCATTTCTTTGCTAGAAATATTCCTTTTATTGCAGACGGAAGAGTAGATGGACTCACATATCAATAAAAGTGAGGGATGGTGTGATGTGGGAACAGAATTCAATAAAGTTTTATTGTATCACAAGTAGGCTGAAGTGCATTTAAAAACATTAAATGAAGGCTCACAATATCTGCTCTGCTGGACCTTAGGGCCAGTGAATAGACAGATAATTGAATAATGACATTTTTAAGAGAATACAAACAGTAGAAAGCAAACTGATATTTTCATTGCTACAAGATTGCTGGTGAAAAGGGAAAGGGGTGGAGAAAATTACAGTCCGAAATCAATGTAATGAGACCACTTTTTTCAAAGAACACTGTTCTTAATGATTTCTGGGGTGCTGTAAGACCCTTAGGCAGCCTCTAGGCTTTCCCTTTTGCATTTTATTGACACTTTCCCCGTTGTTGAGAAGCAGTGTTTGCCTACGTTGCCTTGTTTTGTTAAACAAACAGGTTTGCGGCTTCTCCAGTCTTATTTTGCT